AGGTGCAGGGTCTGCTGGCTGGGTGCTGGCAGACTTGCACCTGGCACGGACACCGTAGCCAGCCCATGCCCCTTTAAGGGGTCCGGGGCCGGGAGGGGGACAGTAGAGTTTCCCTGGTGTTGGCCAGAGTGTCCACCAGGGAAACCTGGGGAGGGCTAGCCTCCCACTAGTTCGAATTAAGGGTCTACACAGCCCTTAATTCGAACTAGCAAGTTCGAACTAGGCTTAATCCTCGTGGAACGAGGATTACCTAGTTCGAACTAAGCGCTCCGTTAGTTCGAATTAAGTTCGAACTAACGGAGCGCTAGTGTAGCGCCTATGAAAGTTAGTTCGAACTAACGTCTGTTAGTTCGAACTAACTTTGTAGTGTAGACATACCCTGACTCATCGCGAGTGTCTGGTCCTGGGTGGGTACTTTAACTGCACCCTCGAGGAGCAGGACTGTACGGGGACCAAGCAGTGCCTGGCTGCTGCAGATGTCCTCAGGGAGATAATAGACCATCACTCCCTGGTGGACGTCTGGCGAGACTTCCACCCAGGCAGAGACAGGGTGTTTACCTATGTCCGGGAGGTGGGTCAATGGTCATTCCACTGCCAGTTGGACCGCATTTATCTTTCTCATCATCATCTCTTCCGGGCCCACTCCTCCAGCATTCATCTAGCCCCATTCTTGGACCACCACTTGGTGGCCGTGATGGCCTCGTTTTCCTCGAAGAGGCCTGGGCTGGCCTACTGGCATTTTAATAACAGCCTGCTGGAAGATGTGGGCTTTGTGGCGTCCTTCTGGGAGTTCTGGAGTGCGAAGCAGTGTGCCTTTCCCTCGGCGCGGAGGTGGTGGGATGTGGGGAAGGTGCACACGTGGCTCTTCTGCCGTGACTACCCTGATGTATTTGCGCGTGCGGGTTCATGTCCTCCACCTCCGGGCCCTTCAGAGACTCTTATTTGATGCAGGTAGTCAGGTATGGAACACGCTTGTGCACGCTTTCCTTCGCCGCTTCAGAGGGCTCCAATATGACTGGCAGCTCCTTTATTTGAGGGGTCTTCTGCGAGACCTCTCCAGGCTCCTGGCCTTCAACCAGGACCTCCTCTGGACCTGGAAGCTGCTTACAGCAACCAGGTCCTTGGGAGCCACCGTGGGGGCAGACCTCCTCGCAGAGCTCCAGCTACACAATCCCCATCTACGTGTGCAGGCGGCAGAGTCCCCCTCGGTGTGCCAGAGTTTGGTCCTTGCAGAAGTCACCAGAATCGGAGACCTCCTGGACTACGACCGGGGAGACTAGGTGGATCGTCCGGTGCTTGCTCCGTGCATGGGGCTCTCCACCCTACGTACTCCCCAGTGCGTACTTCAGGAGGTGAAGGACGCTTTGCCACCCACTGCTCAGGTGTACCTAAACAGGGTCTTGCGAGAAGGTGCACTCCACCCACCCCTCACCCCCAGCCTTCCTGATCTCCCCATCAACCCTCAGCCCCGCGTACCTTCCCGATCGCCTCCCCGTCATCACCTGAGCCAGCTGCATGCATTGCAGCCGGTCCCCTTCCAAACTGCCCCAAAGAGTATACGCTCGTGCTTCACATTCTCCACTTCCCTACTCTTGTGTCCCGCCCAGACACCAAGTGCTGGGACCTCTTACCACCAATAGAGGTTGGGGAGCCCTAGTGGGCTAGCCTCTATTCGACCTTGGTTCCACAGCCCACCGGGGACATCAGCTGGAGAATCCTGCACAGTGCTGTGAGTACGGGTGTGTACTTGGCGTGGTTCACCCCCGTTCCCAACACTTTCCCCTTCTGTGGCCCTGGTGTATGTCTGCCTCGGTGCACCAGGCTACAGCCCCTCTTTCAGCTCCTCCAGAACCTCTTGTTAAGGTTCTGGCTGCACTTCTTCCCTCACCTACTAATCTACGCACACCCCATCTGTGGCCCCACAAGGTCCCGGGACCTCCTGGTCAACCTCCTCCTGGCCATGGCCAAACTGGCAATTTATAAAACCAGGGAGCAGAGGTTGGCTGAAGGAGGGGCCTGCGACTTTGGGGCCTATTTCTGTTCCTGCATTTGCTCATGTATCCGGGCAGATTTCCACTGGGCAGCATCTGCTGGCTTTCTCTCGACCTTCGAGGGGCAGTGGGCGCTGTCTGGGGTTCTCTGTTCGGTGTTCCCATCCGGTTGCCTTGTTTTAGCCCTTTGACCCACACACCCATCCCTATTTTCTCATTATTTGTCCCACGCAATCAGTTGGTTATCTGGGCTCTGTGGGCCCTCCCTGTAGGCTGGGGGGAAGGTCCTTTAGATGTATGCCCGGACACTACCTCCCGGATACCAAATAGGACTGCAGTTACCAGAGTGGTACCTGCATATAAGAGGTTTGCGCGGGTAGTTGGTTTGCAGGTGCAGAGCGCTTGAAGGATACAGTTTAGGAAGAAATAATATGAAATGTTGTCTGGAAAAAGCCCTTTTTAAGTTCTCTTCAGCACCTTTGAACCATGTGGCTCAGAGGGAGTGGTTGCAAAGCTCTCTAAATGCTGCATGCAGGGTAGAAATAAGCTTTTTTGCATTAATCAATTATAATAATTATCCTCCTAAACACATGCTTGGTAAGATATGAGAGCCTTACAGAGATTGATTAGACTAAAATAAGCACCTCATTTACATTTTTCTGATTTTCCTCCACTCCATTTGTCCCCATTAAGGAGCCTGATCTACAAAAGGACAAATGTTGAAAAGCACATTTAAGAAAAATGTCATGTTCCACACCCACCTGTTAATGCTTTGATCCTTTACCTCAAATGCCCTTATGAAAGCTTCAAACAGGAAAAACTTGTCTGTCCCTCAAGGTGAAAACTACAGGGTAAAGTTTTTCCATTCTTGGCAAAGATTAACGCTTAGGTTCCCAAACATTTCTCCATACAGCATTAGTTTTAAGTATGAATGTGTAAGGAGAACTTACCTGCATCTAAAAACGAAATAAGCTTTGTATTTATACTTTTAAAAAGTGAATAAAAATGGGAAATGAAACATTAAAGAGCTGGTTCTAATGAAATTAAGTATCTAAAAATGAATAGCCTCAGACATGTAATAGTTCAAGACAACTTATAATTGGCTTGATAGTGAGTGAATCAGTTGGAGTTATAAATGCCCAGCAGTTCACCTGGGCTCTAATCCAAGCCTCACTGAAGAGAACACATTCCCATTGACTTTAATAGACATTGGACTGAGTGGCTATTTGTACATGCCATACATTTATTTAAATTTTTAGTCATATGCATGCAAATATATAGCTCCCACTTAGCAATATTTTATTACATATTGTAGTGGCATTGTCATTAACAAAGCAACCAGGCTATGTCACTGCATGTTTGCTGTCAGGTCTGATTAATTATGCTCTCCATCATATCTATTAGTCAGATGAAAATAGACTAGATCATAAGAAAATAATGGCTTGAACCTTCATGCATCTCTCCATTTGAACTTCTGTAGTGCCATTCCCATCTCTCCATCTTCCCCCAGCAGCTCCTCAAACTGGCAGTGTTCTTTCACTAGCAACATATCGCCAATGGCAATTTCTAAGTCACCCCTTTTCCCATGTATTTTCAGATCCTGTTGTTATTCCATACCAACAGAAATGATGCCACGAGCCGGTGGGGTCTGCAGCTGAATGACAGAATGTACAAAGACAGAAGAAGCAAGCTAGAGAGTTGGAGTAAGGTAAGGCAAGGCATATTGGATTCTCCAAGAAGTAACGAGAACCCTAGACTAAATCAGATAATCAAAACAAGAGTCAGAAGAAACTTTTCAGGTTCTTTGACTTTCTAGCAGTGGTTATTCCTCAGATATGGGAAGGAATCAGTCAATGAAACAAATCTTCGGCTGTTTACTTTGATTGGCTTTAGTGTAATGTAAGTTAGAATCATTGCAGAATTACTGCTAGTGCAATTTTCCTACACTCATTTATGCAGCACCAATGGTGGATGTGTGTCATCCTTCCCCTCCCCCCACCTGACTAAAACACATGACTGTGGACATGGTTTCTCACAGCTGCCCGGGTTGCAATGAAAGTCCTCCACTCTGGCCTCTTTCTGGCAGGTCTTTCAATGGTTCTCCAGCTTTGTGCCAGGTTTTTCAGCTCATCTTCCACAGCTCTTCACCATGTTGGTTTTGGGCAGCCTCATTTTCTCTTGCCTTCAGGTGTCCATCTTATTCCTGCTCTGGTCAGGGAATCAATTTCCTCCAAAACATGTGGCCAGTTCATCTCTATCGCCTGCTGACAGTGGTAGTGTTCACATCCTCTTAGGTGCACTGTGTCAATGGATCTTGGTTTGAAGTGGTTCTGGGCCAAACGGTACAGAGAATTCTTCTGAGGCAGGTAGTGTGGAATGAAGGCAGATTGAACATGTCGTATTTTCTCATCCCTTAGTATTTTGCACTATAAAGTAGTGTTGGAAGTATGCTGCTCTGATAAATCTTGGTTTTGGTGTTGGTGTTGTATTTTAATGATTTCCAGAATGTATTAAGCTCCTAAAAGTATTCCTGGCTTTACTGATTTTGTTCCGGATGTCCTGGGTTATTGTACCATCCTAACTGATAGTGTTGAGCTCAGGAACGGAGTAGGGAGCAAAGTTGGCTTTTAAGATATGTCTGTGATCTCTGTATTCTGGGGACTTTCAGCGGCTGACACAGGCCCTGGTGTCAGAGCAATGATCTTCGAATGCAATAGGGCATGCATTGGCCAGAAAAACTCCACCGATTTCATTAGCTTTACTCTCAATGTACATTGGTGCGAGTGAGAACAAAGTATGTCTCTGCTGTAGAACCTACTAGGGACACATAGATGGGATAAAACAGCTGATTCTCTTTCACTGATGCTTAAGACAAAACTCATTTCAGAGAATTATTAGTGAAGGACAACTGTAAAGACAAAATGATACAGGATCTCATTAAAATGAAAATGCTGAAATAAATGGGTAATTTGGCATTGATTCCACTCTCCCACCCCCTCACTCTGAAAGCCATTTTGTATTAAAAGTTACATGGCTGCAGGATGATGCTCCAACATCTGTTATTGCTGAAATAAAATGATTTGCTTGGGTTTTTTTTCCTCCTCATATTCTTCTAACATCTGCATGTGTAGATCTCTCCTGTATATTAATCATTTCCAACACTGATTGCTCACGTGCTAGAATAATGCATCAAAGGATATAAAATTCTGTCTTCATTTAGGCAATTGAATATTCTGGTCAGAGATTAACATTTCTATATTTCTGTCCACCTACACTGCTTGCTAGTTGATTATTGTTTACAAAAATTAGCATGGTGGGCGATATATATCCCTATGCAAAGGCCAGCACCAAACTCATATACCACTTGGGCCCACATTTTCAGGGGTTTAGACATCCAATGCCCATTTAAATCAATGAGGTTTAGCTGCCTAAATACCTTTTGAGGATCTGACCTCAGTCTCACAGGCTCACATGGAATTTAAAGAGGTCCATACACCTTAGACTAATCCTCTTCATAGCAACTAATTGCAGCGGATATGATTAGAACAAAGCAAATAATTCACGTTCGTCTCGTCTCTCAGAATGTTTGCAGACAAACTGCAGTTTCCTCAAGCATACTTCTTGCTGAAAACATTGAAATGTTGTTGTTTAACCCATGGATTTATCCAATCGACTGCTTGCAAACAATTCTCTGAGTCTTTCCTATTCCTACTTTTTCAGTTAGCTTTGATTGGTCAGATAAAAATCATGGGATTGGTTTGCTGTGATTAAACATTTCTGAGACAAGCACTTGCATGTGCCAATTTCGAATTCTGCACGTATTTGTGAGTGTGACTTTAAACTCTATGCTCCACCAACATTTGCACTGGTAAACTCAGTGGAACAAATATTCCCAGGAAGCAAATGCAAAAAGTTCACACTGGGTCTGAAAATAAAATTGTTTAAAAATTCAAGTGAGTAGCTGCAATCGTTTATTTTATTATATGTACCAGACGCTATTTACAATGTATTTTAGTGTTACCATGCAGCATCCAAACTTTGGCCCTGATTCAGAGAAGCACTCAGTCCATCCCTATACAGAGAATTAAAATTAAGCATATGCTTGAGTTCTTCTTCGAGTGGTTGCTCATGTCCATTCGAATGAGATGGTGCCAGGACTGGATTACCCAATAAGCAGACTAAGCATGTGCTTAGGGCACCAGCAAAGCTGGGGCACCAAAAAAATATGAGATTTTACGGTATAGTATTGTTTTTATTTTGAATTACATGTGGGGGGCACCATAATCTTTTCAGTGCTTAGGGCCTCTAAAGGTCTTAATCCGGCCCTGGGTGGTGCGCGCACGCCGCTTGCACAGTTTCCCCGGAGCATTTTCTCTAGAGGTACCCGTAGCTCCGGCAGGTTGCCCCCTGAAGTGGCGCCACTATAGTGGAGCATAAGTACCCCTGCTGGTGCTCCCCCTCCTCAGTTCCTTCTTACCGCCTGCCCGAGACGGTTGTAGGAGCATTGATATCTCTTAGATTAGCTAGTGTGTTGTTTACCCATTGGCAGTTAGCCTTTGTTCCTGTAAATAGTTCTCATTAGTTAGGTACTTAGTTGTTAATTGTTCACCTTTGTTTCTCCCCCCCGCACGGGGGAGGGTAATGCCTGGGCTGCACGGCTTTATTACCTATGCATCCTGTGCAAAATTTATGCCTAAGGGGGACCCCCATGACGAGTGTCTAAAATGTCTGGGGGAGGCCCACTGGATAGACACCTGTAAGATCTGAGGAGCCTTTAAGCCCCGCACAAAGAGGGAGAGAGACTCCCGTTTACAGCTATTACTAATGGAAGTGGTTCTTCAACTGGCACCGGTGGCTCAAGCCATGGTGCGCAGTGCACGGGCGTCGGCGCAAGCTGCATCGGCGCATACTGAGACATCAGCACTGAAGGCACCGAGGCACCGGTCGCATTCCCCAGCTCCAAAGTAGCCACGAGCCTGGAGGGGCAGATCTCTAAGCTGTACACCCCATGTGGGCTGGCGCCACTGGCATCGGTCATCGGGCTGGGATTCCCCTGGTATTGGTGGCTCAGGGGCGCAGAAGAGGAGCGGCGACCTGCTGGGAAGCCTGGGCCCGATGCCAGCGCACTGACCCTCCACACTGGAGACATTTGAGGCAGCGCATGAGCTAGTCCACCTAACCACCTCCCCGCAGTCTTCGCTGAGCTTGGAGGGGTTGCGGCCGCTGACACCGGGGGCCATGTTGGCACTGGTTGCCTACCTGGAGCAGGCGCCTCAGTCAGCACCAGCCTCCTCAGCTGCTCCCCAGACGACAGCGAGAGGGCTGGCTGCCGCACCACCCGTACAT